CGAAAGTTGTCATGCTTCACTCTAGAACTTATCATTACAGGCTGTTTAGGTTATTATTGGGATCTTTTAATAATTACTCCCGTCCTTGATATAGGACCCAATTGTTGAGTTAGTTTTATAATACCCATTTATCATATTTATCAATTTTTTTAAATACTCTCTCCCTCAACCATAATCAGTAGAAGAGGAAGAGGGGTATTAAGAAAGATGATTATGGTATTTTAAAAAAAACATGTCACATTTTTTATAATTAACTAACTTATCTAACTTTTTTAATCTAATCAAATTAGTTAAATGGGTCTTATATTTAAGACCGGAGTATTTTTTTTTTGGGCTTCATTGTGATTCCCCCTTAAAACTATAGGAATGAATAAAAATACAAAACAATAAATAATTGTTAAAGAATTTATTATTTATTTATATTTTTTGACATGGGGGCACAGAGGGAAGTGTCCCATGAAAGCGAAGGGGGTTAGGTGGCGAACTGGCTGATCTATTACTCACGTGTGAGCCAGTCGGTCAACTCCCTCGGTCCACACACCAGCACAAAGGCCCCACCATCCCCGTTCCCTCTTATAAGAGAGGACAATATTTGAACCAAAAAAAAAAAAAGAGGACAATAAAATATCAAAACAGAAAAAAAAAAAAAAAATCCAAACAAAGAACAACTCCACTGGAGACCACGAGATTCGGTCCAACCTTACAAAATTGGCAGCGGAACGCCCCCGTTAAAATAAAAAATGGTCAAGTTGTCTCATAGCAGAAAAACTACTAACTAATAAAAGTTAGGTTTGCTAGGAAATTACGCATTAATATTTAAATTCTTTTATCTAAAAATATTTTAAATAAAATTTTTTTAATAAAATGATATTAAATAATTGCATAATAATTAATCCGTAATAGTACTATATTCATTCATATTCAAATATATTATGTTGTGCTATTCTTTTTGCAACTACGCACTTAACTTCCTTTGTTTTTTTTTGGCCAAAAACGTACTTAACTTCCTACAGTGGAGATTTGTCTGCCGTCTCTCCTATTCCCACCAACCCATTCTAAGCGAACCACCTCTCCCGCACACCAAGCAGCATTAACGCCGTGCTCCCTTTTATGAACGCATATTTCTCTGATCATAAATAAAATTTATTTTATAATATGTATATGATAAAATAAGTTTTATATTTAGAATTGGAATTAGGTTAATACAAACTTTGATCCCTCAAATCTATCCTCATTTTGATTTTGGTCCCTCAAATTTTAAACCATAGGTTTTAGTCCCTCAAGGGCAAAATAGTCCATTTTATTAGATTATAGGGACCAATATTTTATTGTAAGAAATTTGAGAGACCAAAACCTATGGTTTGAAATTTGAGGGACTAAAACCAAAATGAGAATAACTTGAGGACCAAAGTTTGTATTAACCCATTGGAATAATATAATAATAATGAGGGAATGAGACTTGTGTTTGAAACCATAAATTTAATAATTTCTCCACTTAGTTGAATGAATTGTTTTCAACTTAATTGTAAGTTCTCAATTTAACTGTGCGTCAAATTTATATTTTTTTCTTTAAACTATTCATATGGATTATACAAATTAAAGGGGTAGATAATAAATATGTTATTTTAAGAAAATCCCCGCACATTTTTTATAAATAATTAATTTTATTAATTTTCTTAGTTTATATAAACTATTTATTTAACTCCTACAGTAAAGTAGTCGGATCTTAAAACATTTAATGGCAAAAGTCCCATACAAGGCCACTTGACATGAGGAAATTTCAAATTAGACGACTAGATTCAATAAATCCCTAATTATTCCATGAATTCAATTTGGAATTTGTAAATGTTGGATATTTTTATCACATTGCCCTTATTTTTTTCTTTTAAATAAAAAACATCCTTCTCTCTTTTATCGGCAACTGACTATCGTCTTCATTGACAACCAACCGCCACCCTCGTTGGCGAACAGATTTTATTGTGAAAATTTTATTGTAAATAGTCGATAATAACTTGTGAGTTATTAAATTAAAGGCTAAAATATACTTTTACTCATTTAACTTTACACAAAGTTTTATTTTAGTCCTTTAATTTTAAAAAGTAAACTTTTAGTCTTATAACCCTAAAACTGTTAACAAAAAATGACGATATTGAGCTCTTGAATACTAATAAAATATACTAAATGCTGACATATTAAGTTTAATATTCAAAACAACCATGATTGTTACAAAAAATCATCATTTAAGACTAATAATTTTAGTGTTAAAAGATTAAAACTATACTTTTTTAAAGTTAAAGGACCAAAATAAAACTTTACATAAAGTTAACAAACCAAATATATACTTTAGTCTAAATTAAATTTGTTAGTTTTTAAGTTTGTCTTGCCAAATTAACACAACTCATTGCCCCATGCCTAACTCTTCTGGATAATTTGACCTTCTAAGCTTACATTCACAGACACAAAACAAACAATTCTGTCAACTTCTGAATAACTTGTTCTCTTTAAAAAACTAGATCAAACAAAGAAGAGGTATGCATCAAGGAAAGAGCTCATCTCATTGTTTTGTACTTGATTCAGAAAACAACCTTTCGTGCTCTTAAAGGCAAATCTTGGCTCTTCCGCTCCACCGAAGGATTGCCGCTTCTCATCAGTGGAATCAAATTCAAATCACTCTCTCTTCTACATAAATACTACCTCCAGTCTTAAATATAAGAGCTGATTGACTAATTTGACGAGATTAAATAAATAAGTTAAGTTAGTTATTTGTGATAAATATGTATTGTTTTTTCTAAAATGTTCTTCCTAATCAAGTGTATTGATTATAACTGTTATCATTAGAAGAACTATCTTAAAAAAAAAGAATAAATATGGGAGACAAAATGGATTAAGGTCTTATATTTAGGACCAAAATAAAAGTCAAACAAGGTATTATATTAAAGATCAGAGGTAGTAATAAATACTAATAAATAATAATATTAATAATAATAATAAATATACTAAAAAAGCTTCCACTTTGACTGTCACTTCCCTCAATACAAATATATAAGAAATTTCAAAATAACCTTCACACTTCTAAAAATAGTTAATATCGTAAAAAGTTTTTTTCTCTTTCCATATTAGCCTTTATTTAATAGGATAACTTACTCACAGATCAATATATTTTAAATATTAATTAAGGACATTTTTTAAAAATATCATCAATTACTCATAGAAAACATCAAATGCCTTGTATTTTTAAACGGGAAAAGAGTAGAATGCCTTACCTCCAATTGAGATTGTTGAATATGTAATTATTTGAATCAATATTTGTAACTGTTTTTCGGAAAATTTTGTTAGGAGCTAACTGTCATGCATTTAATGTTTTAGGACTTTATTGTCATTTCCCCATAAAATTAACAAGTACACGAGATAAAATGTTATTATTGTGTATATCGAATTACATATTTTTAAATTTTAAATTTTATAATATTAAATTTCGTTTAAAATATTTATCAAAACCTGAACTCCTCAAAATTCGTCTTTAGAGTATCAACTTTTTGTGTGTGTGTGGAAATAATGATATCAGGATGATAATACAATGACTGTTTGAACTTATATTTTTTACTTCTTTTCTTCTTCTTCTTTTTTTTTACTGTTTTAATTTTTACATGTTCATTTTGTTAGAGGCTTCCATACAATTTTTAAAAATATTTTTACATATTTTCACACAGTGATAATTTTTAAAATCATCAAATTTATTATTATTATTTTTTTGGTGCCTTGATTCAAATGAAAGGAGAATGACATTTAAGTTTTTAAGGTCTCAAAGCTTTTTTTTGGGCAAAAAGTCTCAACCTTAAGTGAATGACAATTAGATCCTTGAAAATTTTTTATAAAAATTTAAGTAGTTATAAACAGAAATTCCAATCATAAACTAAGACTAGCATCTAAAATTCAATTACCTTATTTGTAATTAAAACTCCTGAATTGAAAATTATTTAAATTAATATTTACAACTCGCTTTTTTTTTAAAAAAAGTTATGAAAACCTAATTATCATTGACATGCTTTTTTAATTAAACCTTACTATTTAGTCAAAATACAATTTTTTTAAGTAGAGTTAAAATACAATTTTAATATTAAAATAAGACGAGAAAGCCCAAGCTTGTTTTTTTTTTTGATATGCTGAGAAAGTCCAAGCTAGTCCAACGTGAATTTCGAGGTATTACAAATACAAGCAGTTCGCCAAAAATATCATACTACCATTACCCTCGTGCTCCTTCTATGGAACTCCAAATCTCTACCGTTCATTGGCCGCCCTCAATCTATTTACGAGAAGTTTTTTTTTTTCCCAATAAAAAATGCACAATGCTCATGAGATGTTCCCCTAAATTAAAGATTTCAAAAGGAAACTAAATTAATCCCAAAATTCTCATAATACTACATGACTACAAAAAAACACAGCACATCAAGTAACAAAGTCTTCCCTCAAATCTCAAATAATAAAAAATTATTTTGAAAAAAATCCGAGTTACTATAATATAGTTGTATTTAAAAAATGGAGTTGATCGCATACAAAAATTAAAGACATTAGCTGCACGATTGATGATTGATATATAGTACTATTTTCTGTTTTTAATATAAGAATTTATTTGACTTTTATTTTAATTTTAAATATAAAATTTTAATATAATTTGTCTCTTATATTTATTTTTTTAAAATAGTTTTTATAATAATGATAGTTTTAACTAATATACGTGATTGGCAAAAATATGTTATGAAAAACAATATCTATTTATCATAAATAACTAATTTAAATAATTTTTTAATTTATTTAAATTAATTAATTAATTCTTATATTAAATACATGAAGTAGTGTCAATTTACTTGCGAAATAATTAATAAATCATGGATTCAGGTTTTGGCTTACGCTCACCTGCACCAGATCCCTGCCCCTGAACCAGCTTTCCTCATAAGAAGCTCCGAAGGTGCTGCGTAAATTGCATATATAAAAAAAAGCCATATTCGCATTTTTCCTGGGTTGGTGCAAAAACCAAGGGAGCTACTCCTGCATAAGCCTTCGCTCGCCTACCTCCTCTCTTCCTTTCTCCGAAGGCTAGGGTTCCTGCTTCAGCTTCTACAATGGCCGCCTCTTCTATGCTGAGATCTGCGCTCCTCTCTTCCTCGCCCTCTGATGGTTTTAAGGTATCCTGTCATTTGGAATTATGTTACCGCGTGTTTTGATCTAGTTTTGTTTGGTGATGCTGCTATTCGAGTCAAGATCAGTTTTTTTTTTGGGTTTTATTTTAGCTGTTTGGTAACGAAGAAAGCGGGAAGAGAAAGGAAACACAACTGTGAACTTGTGTATGTCATGTTCTTTTGGTTAACAGTAAAATGTGTTAAGAACTATGCATTTTGGGTGAAAAGTGTGTGTTTGAAACATGGAAGAAGATTCTGCTGCCTAGTCCTTGGTCATAAGGATTTTTCAGTGCTTCTTCGTAATATCTGAGCAGCTGAGATGATGTACTTGTTTCTCTGATAATTTTATGTTATCGCGTATTTTAATCTTTATTGTTTGGTGGTGTTATTCGAGTCTGGATTAGGTTGCTTTCATTTCTTTTCTCTTTGGTCGTCTTTTCACTGTCTTCTTACCATGAAAACAGGGGGAAAACGGCATTTCTATCTTGTGTGTGTGATATTCTTCTAGTTAACTGTTAGTGTGTTGAACTAAATCCTTGTTTGTGAGGATTTCCCAGTGGTTCTTCGTAATTGAAGATGACGTACCAGTTTCTCTGATCATTGCAGGGTAATTAATTTTTTTTTTTTTTGACTTATTTTTATGATTCAGGTGTCGATCAATATCTCCAGTAGCAATATAAAGTCTTTGAAGTTACAGTCTAACATTTTTGGAACTTCTCTCCCAAGTGAATCATTAGTCATGCAGTTAGTTGCTCGAACTTCTGAAGGATTGGCCTTTCTTATTCTCCTTTGCTTTTTTTGCCTGTGACTTATTTTAAAGCTCCAATTCTTCTGGTATTTTTGATCATGAAATTTCATAATTTGCTTAGAAACTGCAATGCCCGGAGTATCCAACCTATCAAAGCCACGGTTACTGAAATTCCCCTGCCCGTACAGAGTAAGGATAAAACAACTCGTATGTTCAGAAAATACATATTTAATAGTTTAATTATGATTCATGATTGGTTTGGTCTGTTTAGAATCAAAGAGCGATGGGAAGACCAGGATTGGAATTAATGGTGAGTTTCTTGTTGCTAAAGTTCACTCTGTTATTTTTATTTTCTGGTGAAATTTAATTTACTACACTATCTATTTTGATAGATATCTTTTTGCGTTGCATCTATTCCGCATTTAAGCTTTGCCTTGCTTCAGCATCCTTTTATATCCATTATGCTTTGCTTTTGTGGGGTACTGACGTTTCTGAGAATAGGCCTTCTTGAAAACAGACATTTTTGTTTTTCTTCCCAATAGAATTTTAATTTTATCAGTATGATCTCATTATTGCTTAGGGGGATAAGCCACCCTTCTAAGTAAGATAAGAAGAAAGGCATCGAATGAATTTTCATTCATAAATTTTAATGTGTGAATATTTTCTCTTATCAAATCTGAGGAGACATGATGTCGTAGGATGAAAATTAGCTCTGAATTTCAAGTAGGTCTGTTTCAAGTTGAATAGACATTCTGTATGCTTGAATTGTGCAGGTTTTGGTAGAATTGGAAGGCTGGTGTTGCGTGTAGCTACTTCCAGGGATGATATTGATGTTGTAGCAATTAATGATCCTTTCATTAACACTAAATATATGGTATGTATGAGGAATCCCCTTGGTTTTGCTTATAGTTTTTAATATTCACTGGTTGTTTGTACAATTTCTAGTGATTGTTTCATCTATCTTGATGAAGTTTTATGTGGGGATTTGTGCATCTAACCTGTAAAAATCTGTGTCAAGACAATGCATTTTGATTTAATCTTATGCTGGATCTTTTTCTGTCTTCTCAGCTGGGATGCTTTGCAGTTGTATATTGTTTATGCCTATCACTTTTTATACAAGTTTATAAGTTTTTGGATTATTTATTTATTGGTGATTTCTTTATCTGTTTTCCGACGTGAGAAGGACTTTAACATGCAGTACAGTACCCTCCTGAATTTTAGAGTACCCTGTATAGTCATTTTCAATCTTTGCACATGGAAACTCGTGCTGTTTGAGTCTGTGATGTTATTTACTTGTTTTTGTATTCCTTTTCTCCTCATGCCTGTAATGTTTTGAACCTAAAACCAAAGAACTCTAGTGTTTTGGATAACCAAGGTTATTCTCAGAGCAATGATGCTGTTTCCTTTTCTGCATTTGTCTTTGTTGCGTTATCTTCTTTCCTCACCTTTCTGCATACAGTTTTGCTTTTTCATTGGTAACTTCTCTCTCTTTTCCAGGCGTACATGTTTAAATACGATTCTACGCATGGACCATTCAAGGGATCCATTAAGGTTTTGGATGATTCCACTTTGGAGATCAATGGAAAGAAGATAAAAGTTGTGACCGAAAGGTAAGCTGAACCTTCATTTTTGAAATGATGTTTCTAATGTGATCATCACTAGTATTTTACAATGCTAGTATAGATATCAAAGCACTCTAAAACTTGACAAGCATGCATTTGTATACAGAGACCCTGCAGAGATTCCATGGGGCGAATATGGGACTGATTTTGTTGTTGAGTCTTCTGGAGTTTTTACAACTATGGAGAAAGCCTCAGCACATTTGAAGGTTGCTATGTTCATATACTTAATTTTTTAAGAGTTCTCTCGTTTCCCCTTCTCTCTCTTTTCCCTTTCCCTTTGTACACTTTCCCATTACGTCTTAAGTTTAATTTTTTTTTTTTTTTGGAATACAATAAGTTGATGATGCTGTTATATTATCTTTAGGGTGGTGCCAAGAAAGTTGTAGTCTCAGCTCCATCAGCTGATGCCCCAATGTTTGTGGTTGGAGTGAATGAGAAGGCGTACAAGCCAAACATGGATATTGTTTCCAATGCTAGCTGTACTACAAATTGTCTCGCCCCCCTTGCCAAGGTTTGATTGCGTCCTGTATTGCCAAGCTTTATTAGTTATCAAGGACAATATTATGCATGAGAATGTTTATGTTTTTGCATTGCACAAGCTTAGCATGATGTCAGTTAGCAAGCATAGAAACCAGTTAGGTTGAATTTGAGGTTTCAAATGTCTTAGGGCACTTCAATGGCTTTTTAAGAAAAAAGAACCTTTGGAGTCTTCCTATCCTTCCTCATATCTGTAGCTTGTGGGAAAGGTGAAAGCATCTGATTATTCCTAAATTTCTATTTTCAGGTGGTTCATCAGGAGTTTGGTATAGTTGAAGGTTTGATGACAACTGTACATGCAACAACAGGTCTCACTTGGCCACATTGCCTATTACTTTCTGTTTTACTCGTTTGATATGTTGATGTGCAGCATCCAATCCATGACTTGATTGTGCTTTTTATTATTCAGCGACACAGAAGACTGTAGATGGCCCTTCAATGAAGGATTGGAGAGGAGGACGAGGAGCTGGTCAAAACATAATTCCTAGTTCAACTGGCGCTGCGAAGGTAAAAGCTGGCTAACCTGGAAGAGATGTAAGCTGGTCAAAACATGATTCCTAGTTCAGTGTAGATTAGTGTAACTGGTTTCATTATTTATGTAATCTTAGGCTGTTGGGAAAGTTCTTCCAGAGCTTAATGGAAAGCTCACTGGGATGGCATTCCGTGTTCCTACACCCAATGTTTCTGTTGTGGACCTAACCTGTCGACTTCAAAAGAGTGCTTCCTATGAAGATGTCAAAGCAGCAATAAAGTATGTCTAATGCTTTGTTTTTTGTTTTTTCCACAATGATTTTCATTTGGGAGTGTTCTCTACTAATCCTGTGGATCTTCTTGGTATCTACTGTTCCCGCAACTACTAAAATGAAGGTATGCCTCAGAGGGACCACTTAAAGGCATTCTTGGATACACAGATGAGGACGTTGTCTCTAATGACTTTGTTGGTGATTCCAGGTAAAATTATCTTTTGCTGGACTTGAACTTTTTGTTGGCGATAAAACCATTGTCAGCATCTTGAATATTATTGGTTTTCTTGTCTTTCTCAAATATACATGCTTAAGATGTGATCTTTTGCTATTGAATGGGGGAAGAAAGAATTACCAGGTTTAAATTGAGATGCCACAAAACAAGAGCTGCATAACTTTGGTATCAACGTAGCTCCTAGAAATGCTAAGAGCGGATGTACCTATTGCTAAATTAGAACCCTGAACCCTTCATTTTCCTCTTTCCGTTACTAGTCGAATAATTGCAAGGGTTTTGTACTTTTTGTGTATCTTCTTTTCTTGGAGAATGCCTTACTCTAAATGATTCTGATTTGAACAGGTCAAGTATTTTTGATGCTAAGGCTGGGATCGGTCTCAGTGCATCTTTCATGAAGCTAGTTTCTTGGTATGACAACGAGTGGGGATACAGGTATTGGTTTCTTGAACTTAGCATGAAGTGGTACTTTGTACGTGAACTTGTGTTGCACACAAGCACAAGCATTTTGAGTTTGTCTGAAGACAAAATCTCGGTTTCAGTCCACAAAAGTGTAACAATTAATTTAATATTCATGAGTTTTTTTTTTTTTTTTGGGGTCTTGGGGCATGAGAGGATGAGTTTTGTCCAGTTTCAATAATTTGATGTTTGATCCTTGAAATACTCCTCCGATCCTTAATATAAGGTTTAATTGTTAAGTTAATTTTGGTCCTAAATATAAGACCTATTTTTTTATACTTACTAATTTTTCTTAAATTACCTTGATAGATATTTCTTCAACTATAATTAAGTAATTGAGGGAGGGGAGATATTAAGAAAGATGATTATGGTGTTTTAAGAAAAATATCGGGTTTATTATAATTAACTAACTTACTTAACTTCTTTAATCTAATTAAATTAGTTAAATAGGTCTTATATTAAGGACCGAAAGAGTAGATTATAACATCAATTAGGACCTCTGGAGTTCAAGGTGAAATTGGAATGAGATCATACTCTTAGTTATATACACAAAAATTCTGGAATTTCTATTGACATTATTTTTGAGATAAAAAAAAAAAGGCTTTTGTGTTCAAAATCAAAGACTTTTTGTCCAGCTTCTCCTCCGCCCCCTTCCTCCTTCCTCCTTTCTTTTGGCATCTAATCATTTTTGTTGAATGTTTTGTTTTGCAGCAACCGAGTGTTGGACCTTGTAGCGCACATGGCACTTGTAGGGGCTCTCAAATGAGCCCATGATAGTTGTCTCTTGTCATTGATGCTCCATTTTTTTTTTTTTTGTAAACTTGTATGCTAGGCTAATAGGGTTAAGAGGTTTTGGCTCTGATTGGGTTTGGATAAAGCTGTGAAGTGAAAATCATCACATCATGGGCGCTTGGGGAATAATTAAAGATACGAGTTCATCACTACACAGGTGCTTGGAATTTGTTTTTGTACCCAACGATTTGCAGTACCGGCATCCTTGATTCGAAATCCTTGACATTGATCCGTGTTGTCTGGTCGGATAGGAGTCAAACATTTAATACTCTTTCCAGACATTTCAGACCCATTCTTAATTATTGATACATGGTAATAATTTAGTTATTCTATTTCTCTTGCTATCTCGATGAAGTCCCTTTAGATTATATTTGAAAGTTTGCATTTTTTTTTTGTAGAGTTTCCTTGAGATTTTGGTATTTATGATTTGAACTTGAATGTGATCTACACTACCTTTTCATTCAATCCTTCTGTAGTTCACCGCTATGCAATGTGCTATTAAACAAATTTTCTGAAACGTTTTCATGTGTATTTCCAAGTTGGTGTATTGATGAATCTTATGAGAGTGTGTTCTCTTTTAAAACAAGTGAGAATCACAATGAGGTCTTCAAAAGAAGAAAATAAATGTACAAGTAAATAATTGTTATTTAGTATCTTAAAACAAGTCATTTTAAGCTGTTATTGTTACTCGGATTTTTTAATAATATTGTTTATTTGGGACTTCACGGTAATTTTTTCTTAAAATAAATGAAGGGAAAATGTATTGCTGATCAAACAAACCGGAGGAGGTTAACTAATAATCTGTTATTGATGGGCAGAGAAATGCGTGATGCAAAAAAAAAAAAAAAGGGCAAAATAACCAATGTTCACTTGTTAGTGATATGAAGAGGCATAGTCATGAACTGGACTTGAATTTATTGATGATTATGAAGGAGGAGTCAACCAACTTGGGGGAGAGAAGCAATCTTGTTGTTGGGACCCACGAAGAGGCAGACGCGGTTGCAGCAGAAGTCTTGAGATGGCCGAACCCCCACTGTCACTAGTGGGTTGGTTTTACCGTTTTATTGATTACGCTAATTGCCGCGTCAGCATCTTTCCCCACCATTTCTGGCCAGTTTACTCTCTACCCTTTTTAACCTGCAAACACAAGCAGATTATGGATCCGTTTGAGTAGCAGTAGAAAAAATAATTTATTTTTAATCTGATTTTTAAAAAAATAAAATTAAGTAATGTGATTTATATTTGGATTTACTTTTATAAAAGTTAATTTGTAAAGTAAAACAAAATTGTTGGGATTATGATTGAATAAGTAAGTTTAGTTTGGAAAAATGACAAAAAATTATGACTTTTATTAAATAATAAAAAATAATTAAAATTATGAATTTACAAAATACAATAATTTTAAATTATGATAATAGGAAAAGTTATATTTAATGAATAAAATTTATTTAAATTAGAAATCATAGTAATGTGAAAATTTTTGAATCAAATAATATTACATAATTAATTGGATAATATACTTGGGAAAATGACAGATAAAGAAGGTGAAATATATGATATTCTAATTTGGAAAGCTAAGAAAATGTAGTAACAAAGAGGAAAGTCCTTCCTAAATTAGAATTTTAAAATTCAGTAAAATAACAAAAATGCCTTTTGTTTTTTCTTTTTTAAAAAGCTTAGCCCCCAGTCAACGGCATAGGCTGGCCACCGGTGTGGTGGCTGTCGGTGGAGCTTTTTTGTCACAGTTTTTTTTTTTTCATGGGAGAATATTGGTTTAAAATGACAGGGGTGGGATTTGATCCCACAACCCCTTAGTCATTTGGGCCAACAAAAAGAAAAATGACCATTGGGCCATTAAAAACTTCTCAATCTTATAATGCAAATAAAAATATAAGTTGACTCTTTTACTATGACTCTAGTCTGTGACAACAATTTACCTCAAGACGACAAGTCTTAATTGAGAAATAACAAATCTAAATTTGATATTAACAAAGCAACTTTTCCTAATACATAACAAGAAGTAACATGTACATTAATTAAAAATGACCATAATTTATTTGAAAATGACATGTCTTTACTGAAAAATGACAAATCTAAACTTGATATTGACAATGTGTCTTTTCCTAATACATAACAAGAAGTAACATGTACATTAATTAAAAATGATTATAATTTATTTAAAAATGATGTATCTTTACTGGAAAATGACATGTCTTTAGTGAAAAATGACAATTTATTTGTGAATGTACATGTTTGTCGTTTTCTACTAAAGACGTGTCATTTTTAAAAATTCTAATTTGGGAAGGACTTCCCTCTCTGTCATTATATTTTCTTAGCTTCCCAAATTAAAATATCATATATTCTACCTTTTTTATCTGTCATTTTCCCAATATACTTCGCATAATTTATGTAAATATAAAATATAAAATAATATTAAAAATTAAAAATAGTATAAAAACTGTTAAAAATTACTTTTTACTTAAGAGAATATTAAAAATAAATAACTAAAATCTGACTAGGAAGCACAAGGAATATGTAGGGAGAAGTATAAGAACAACATAAATATAAGAGCAAAATATCTTTTAATTCCAAAAAACTACTTTTACATAAGTCATAAATAAATTTTAGGTACTTTATTTTGAAATCATGCTTAAAAAAAAATCAGCTTTTGACCTATAAGTCAGATTGACTAAAAACTGTGACAAATAGCTTCTAAATTTACAAATTAACTTAACACACTTATAAGCTACATTTTTCCCTAGAATGCCTTACCAAACAGGCACTATAAGACCCTGCTCATCCATTTTTTTCCTCTATAATATTTAAAACTACTGATGTATTGTGTATGTATATACAAGAGGGTTATCATAGTTTCCAAAACTTACTTTGACCAGATTGGTTTGATTGACAATGATTTTTTGTTAGAACTTCCTTTTTTTATTTTTTTTTGGGGGAAAAAGTGGTTTTGGTAAAGTTGATTTTTAATATTAATATGTTGATTGATTTTATATTAATATTAATTAATGAAGAATACCAATCTGTTTTTTTTACTATGAGTCACTTAGAGGGTAATTAATGATCATTTTTTAATTTTACCTTTATTTAATTGTCATTGGAAAGAGAGAAAGATGATAGAGAGAGGTGAGAATGATTTGAAAATGTAAAAGGAGAGAATTTTAATAAGGGTAAATTTGAAAAAGTTCATCAATTTAATAAAATTTCTTAACGTGTGAAAACAAGTAACTCATAAGAATCATCAGGAATATATATTGTTAGAGAAAGAGAGATGACGATACCTTGAGCACAACATGCCGGATCAGTACAACCACCAGTGAGGCAAGGAGGATAGGCTCCGGACATGGCTCTTCCGTTTTGTTGTTCACTTCTTTCAAACTTGCGAACTGTTCTCTCTTATATACACACACCTTCACCAACGGTTCATAAATCATATGTATTCATACTTATTACGTACAGATCATCATATTATGTCCCCATTGAAAACCTTGTAATGATTATTCTATATATGATATTAAGACACAGTATATTGTTGCTATACTCCTGAACATCGTAATAAAATTGATAATAACTTGCATTATTTCTGGATTATAAATAATATGATTCAGTTCTCATATCATCATATGATTCTTTTGAACTGATCACTAGAAAATCCTTGACTTGGTGAACACAATTGGGATGGAGATTCGTAAGAATCAAGTTCAAATTGAGAATTAGTGTGGTAATTTTGCTTCCCGTTTGGAGCTCTTGTGAAGAAACACTTCGAATGCTTCTAACCACCTTTGCACAGTAGATTCCAAAGGGGGCAATCATTGCAGACATGCATATTACAATAGCAACGAACACAGTATGAAATCAAACGAGTTCAAACCATATTCTGAAAAAGTATATGATAGTCTAGAAGAATAAGAATCAAATTCATTGTTTTTCTAGCACCAACCCATGAGATATACTTCGATTTAAAGATCAAAATCAGAGTAGGACTACACAAAGAAACATCCTGCTTAATTTTTCTCTCTGCATATATACAACAATTAGTTTCCCTAATGTAGATGCAATCAGGAAATGCAATTATTCGACTATTTTACACTCTTGTAAATGCAAATATTATCTAGCTCATGCTTGCATCCAGATTTGTTGATCAAAAGAGCTGCAATGTATCAAGATTACATGAAGCAAATTCCAATCCCAGGACACCGTCGCTTTATCACTCCCATACCTCATGGATGGGATTAGGCAGATCCCCACAGCAATTATACCGCCAGCCCCTTCATTACCTCATAAATACTCTACTTAGGCAGTGAGACCAGTTGAGAATTGACAGTGAGGATGAATATAAGCCCTAAGAAAACGTCATTCATCCTTGCAAAGCTGAAGCGAGCATGTGACTCATTGAAGAAGTCCATCGGAAGACTTCATCTCATCTTCATATTGCTAAACTCTGGAAGGGGGATCTGAATGCTTATGTTGATTCCATTTTTCAAACATTAGAAGGCTAATCCTGAAGCCATTTTGTTTGCTGGCTGTCCATGATTTAGCAAAATCTTTATGTATTTTTTCTTTTCTATAACAAAAGAACATCTCCTTCCGTGATCCCCTTAGTTCTCTGTGTGGCTTGGTGCTTATTTAGCTGAAATTGGCCACGCAGGCAGTTGAATTGTAGTATCAGATATCAAAACTCCTCTTTCTAATCCTTTCTTTTTTTTTTTTTGGGGGTAAAAATCCTCTTTGTAACCCTGTTACCAATAATCTCCACAAGAACAAAATCCTTGCTTGAAAATGTGATACCTATTATTATCTCTGACAGTGATTTCCCTTTTGTACAGTTTTGATACTAATTTTGCGAATGAGTGACAATCAGAGCACATCCTAAGATTCTTAATCACCCTTATAGGCATACCTGGACTGGTGGTGATCAATCCAAAAGCCATGGCTAGTTTCTCACTGTGCCTACTAAGCAATTGCTCTTTCTCCCTTAAATCAACATCTATCAAGACGTTGGTTATATCTGGAACATACCCTGCCTCACCTAGCTTGCAATTTATTTCCTTTAGCATTAAATCAATGTTTAATTTTTCTGGGTGTGATTGATCATCAGATATGAATTCGTGAATCATTCCATTAACCTGTATTGAACTTAATCCAGGCAATTTCGGAACCCCTTTTTCCTTCAATTGCAGCCTAACTTTCGCAACGTCATCCCATTTCCTTGCAAACGCATACGTGTTTGATAGTAACACATGAACCCCTGGTTTTTCAGGGGCCAATTCAGTTATTTTATCAGCTGCATATTGTGCTAATTCAACATTTTTGTGAATCCTGCAAGCAGCAAGAAGAGAGCCCCAGATCACATCATTAGGTTCCATTGGCATACGTTGGATAAGATCAAGAGCTTCTTCGAGAAACCCAGCTCTCCCGAGTAAATCAACCATGCAACCATAGTGAACAACCTGAGGACAGATTCCATGAGTTTCCTTCATTGAATTAAAAATTTGCCTCCCTTTCAACACACAGCCGCCATGACTACATGCTGTTAATAGTACCACAAAAACAACCTCATCTGGTTTCACCCCTTGTTTGAGCATTTCGTCAAAACTCTCAATAGCCCCTTCAGCATTTCCCTCCATAGCCATTGCTCCAATGGCAGCTGTCCAAGCAGACACATCTTGTTTGTCCATTTTACTGAAAACACTTATAGCACTTCTGGAATCACCACACCCTGAAAACATATCAACCAAAGCTGTACCTAGCTGCAAGTCAATATCAATGCTTTTTCTCCTAATGTATGTATAGACCCACTTGGCAAGATCGAAAGCTCCTAAATACCCACAGGCAGATGCAATGCCCACCATTGTCACCCTATCTGGTTTCATCCCATTGTTCTGCATCTCACGGAATAGCTTAATTGCTTCCTCAAACATGCCCTCCTGAACCAAGGCACCGATCATGGTGTTCCAGGATACAAGGTCCCTCGTTGGTAGCTCATCAAAGGTTCTCCAAGCTAGTTCCAAATCACCATCTCTAATAGAACCTGCTATTAAGGTGTTCCATGATACCACTGTCTTGTTTGGCATAGGCTCAAAAACTCTGCAAGCTGCTTCTTTTTCACCACATTTCATATACATGTCAATAATGGCATTGCTTATGCTGTCCCAACCTTCAAGGCCATGCCTCAAGACATAAGCATGGGATGATTTTCCTGCAGACAGATCACCTAACTGTGCACAGGCTGCAATTGCTGATAACAATGTCACCCTATCTGGTCTCAGTCCTAGTTGCAGCATGTCATGGATTACTACTTGTGCTTCTCTGGCCATCCCATGGTGAATATAATTTGAAATGATAGTGTTGTAGAGAACCAAATTTTTATCATCACATTGATCAAAAAGTTGCTCCGCAGCCCCTATATCTCCACACTTCATGTACATATCAACAAGTGCATTTACCATGTGGGTATTAAACTTCACATCCAACTCATCAATATAGGCACATACTCTTTTACCTAATCCTAAATCCTTCAACTTTGCACAAGCAGAAATAACACATGCCATGGTCACCGAGTTAGGCTCAACACCAGCCTCAACCATCTCAAAGAACAGAGAAACTGCCTCTTTTGCTAAGCCCCACCCAGCATAACCATTGATCAAGCTAGTCCATGACACGACATTTCTCTCAATCATTTTATCAAACACCTTTCGTCCTAACTCAATCTCCCCACATTCCGCATACAGATGTATCAAAGAGTTCCTGACAAACAAATCTTTCTCTAAACCCATCTTGATAACTACCCCATGAACTTGACTGCCCTCAGAAATCGCCATAGATTTTGAGCATGCACTGAGTAAAAACGGGAAGGTGTACTTATCAGGCTCAATGCCCAAGACTACAATTTCATTGTACAAGAGGATTGCTTCGTCACAGAGCCCACCAAAAGCATAGCCTCTTAACAAAGAATTGTACATGAACAACGAACCGATGGTACCTTGGTCCTCATTGAAGGATTCGATAGCACTTCGAGCATAGGACAGGCTCTCATAAGTACCCATTTTGACACAAGCGGAAATTAGCTTGTTAATGTAAGAAGCTTTGTGACAGAGACCATTCTTCATTATATCACAGTGCAGTTGTTGAAGTTCCTTCATGGTTTTGCAATTTTCAAGTAGCAAACTATGTGGGTTTTTAGCCATGGCTTTGAATTCCTTGTGGATCGTAGGAGTTGAAGGTGGGCAAGGCGAAACCATAGGAGATGCATGAAGGGTTGCAGCCATGGCGGAATTATTCTGCTAATTCTCAAACGAAATCAACAGTTCCAGTGATATAATGTCAAATACCAAATCCTGGAAAGAAAACATAGAAATCAAAGAAGGTGAGAATCCGAAATCCCTTATAACCTTGAAGATGATAGGTGGATCCGAAGAATAAAGTCGGGTCCTCTGATCCAGTCACCAAAAACAGTGTGTTTCATTTACTTTGGTCCTTCAAAGCTACTCCCTGATTTGGTCCCTTAGCCACAATATCTTCTGATCCTTGACTGTCATTCTTCTAATTGTCAAATATAGTGTCCTTCCTCCTGAGTGTCCTGCAAATTAAATCCAAATAAATGAAAATGATCAAGTTTGAATAAAACTGCTATGATAAACTAATTTAATAAAAAGCTGATAGTTTAATTAAATTAATAACAAACCGTAAAATATCATCTGTAAAATCTATAATTACAGGACGCTATCCACTCACCTGCTGATCTCCTAAAAGTATAACTTACTCCTATTTATCCACCTCTGAAATATGGTTGCTCCTCAATCCGTGAATGTCTCAAAAACAAACGCATTAATACTCAAATTATAATTTTATATAAAATTCCCCAATATCTCATGCACATTCCAAATTATCTCAAGCAAAACCACTATCACTTAAACCAAGCTCTTCTATATAAGAACACATCCATTTAATTGACACCCACTTCCTCATAGTCAATATCCTAATATTCTAACTAAGACTTGTATTCTTTAATTTATTTATCAATCATATGCAACATCTTTAGCAACACAATCACGATCTCATAGGTACCCAAAGAATAACATGAGAACCAGCAGGCTTAGTGTTTGGATTATAAATTAATTTCCTTCCCATATAATATCATGACCCCCACAACATTCAAATTTTCAATATAGAGGAGCAATTAACTCTTACTTCCTTCAAGTGTCTCAAAGTAACCAAAGCATAAATCATAATCATCTCATATTCCTAACCAAACAATCTCCTCTATCCACATTAGATCATAATGTCTTCTAAACTAACTTCCAGAACAACATTTAAATTATACATAAACAAAACCCATGTTCTTCTCTTGAAACAATTTATATATAAAAGAAAAACTAGAGCTTTAATCTCATTCACGGAAGATATAATCACAAGCTCAATTAATAACTAAATATTATCACACCATATGCTACAATAAATCAATTTCATATATCACACAATACATCAAACACGTTGAGTGCAATTATAATCAAGCAAATTCAACAAGCACACTAATCCACAATTTCCACTCCAATACACACCATGACAGCCACAATAGACCAAGAACTATCATAATTTCAGCACAGCGACGCCTTGAAGAAAAGAGAAAGAACCACACAGAGCCACAAGCAAGCAACAAGAACAGGTTCAAAACGCATAGCAAGAGGAGTGAAACTCACATAGACTCACACTTCAGCCCTGCACATCACACGATCACATAGGAGAAGAAGAAAGCGAGACACAGCTCCCTCACGACAGCATCAGTTGAGGAGGCAAAGGAGAGAGAAAACGAGGGTCACCGCAATAAGCAAAAAGTCGGCGGCAGACGGACGGACAGTGGCGCACACACCACCGGCGAAGATGGAAACCGAGAAGGATGGATGGGGGAAGAAAGATGACCAAGTTTCAGGAGCCTTCAAGCTTTTTCCTCTCTCAGCGCAATGAACCGACGGGAAAAGGAGAAGACTAAAAATCTAATGTAACTCAAAGCACAAACACAAAACAAAGGAGACGATGGAACCAGTATGCGAAGTTTGAGGAGCGAAGGGATTTACGGATGATGTTTACATATAGTGGAGATAACATCTGATTTTTGCCTTTTCCTCCTGTTTCTCGGCATTGTGGAGAAGAAAATGTTCTGCCTTGTTTTATTGAATGAGCAGCAAGTTATCCTGTTCTTATTTTGAAAAAAGAAAGAGAGAATTTTTTGAAGAAATATATGATGAAAAAGAAATTTCCGTTATGATAAAATATGATTTTTCTTGATGGATGTGAAGGAGAATTATGAGAAAATGAAATATCTTTTTATCATTAAACATTTTCCCCTCGTAGTACTCTCTTACATTGAAGCTCAACTTTGTTTTGTCAAGTTTTTTTGTTGTTGTTATTTTAAGCATTAAATAAATATTTTGTATTGAAGATATATACATGTGAATTTAATCTTTTCTTGCGGAATTCATACCAGCTTTCAATTTTTACTTCCTTTTTTTTTTGGGGTAAAAAATGGGGCAAAAACGGGCTTTTTTACCAAAATACGATAAACAGTAAAACTTTTTACTAAAATGCTACACTTTTAAAACTATTTACTAATATGCTACACTTAAAATCGTTCTTGGCAAGAACAATTTTCAAATATCACACAAGTCGTTTTTGGCGTGAACGATTTCAGAAATCGTTCTTGGTGTGAACAATTTCACTTTTAAATTTTTTCTTAAATCAAAAAGTGAAATCGTTCTTGGCGTGAACGATTTCACCCTTGCATACAAAAATAAGAATCCCTAACAATGCTCCCATAAGGCTACAACATATATAGTAAATTTTACTTCATCTTACTTATATTGGATTAAAATTTGAAAACCCCAGTTTTTTTAAAATTTTTTTCAAATAGAGCTTGATGAAATTTTCTATCATTTCCTCTTCTTTTTATCTATCTCATACCAAACAGTACGTAACAAAAAAAGTTATGTTTTGATTGTAAATTTTTAATTGTAGCAATTAAGTTGTAAGACTAAATTATTATTATTATTATTTTGGTCACAGGCATAAAAGGCCCATACCCAATACTTGATTTCTTGTCAAACCGAACAAATACCACACGACAGGCTTTTTTACCAAAATACTACAAACTGTAAAATTATACATCAATATGCTGCACTTTTAAAAGTATTTACTAATATATTACACTTAAAATCGGTCTTCAGGTGAATAATTTTTAAAGTCATTTATCTGGTGAACGACTTCTTCATAATCTGTCCTTGATGTGCATGAGGTGAATGAAAATCGTTCTTCTGGTGAACAACTTCAAAACTTCATCTGCTGTTGAATGACTTCTCCCCTTCTCTCCTGATTAAAATGATTAGTATAATGATTTATCAATCATTTGAATGACAAAATCATGACTATATAATGAGAGAAAAATGTTATAATGATGTTAAAACTAATTGTGAAATAAGTATAAGATTAAAAATAAAAAGTAATAAATAAAGTTTAAGTTTATAAAGAAAAAATTATCCACCTTACTGATAGTGACTTCCAGTACCACATCTTGGCCTTCTTCTCATACGTTGTGGGCGTTGTTGTTGTATGTCAATTTCTTGAGCTTCAAATGTCTCATTTGTTTGTGTAGTTGGCGTGTTCAAATCAAACCAGGGTGATTCATTTAAATGTATAGATTGTCGAGGAGTGACAAATGCTTCATTTGATGGTCCACCATGTTCAAAAGTAGAAGCATTGTATTCAGCTGAAAATAATGCAGGATTATCTAATAAAGTCATGAATGGTTGAAATTGAGAAGGATTGGCTGAGTTGGAAGGGGATGATGATGAGGGTGCCATGTAATGAGACTCAAGTTGTGTAGGATCGATAGAGATGAAGGGGGATGATGGTGACGGTGATATGTCAGAAGCCTGAGTAAAAATTGGAGGTTCCTGTTCCCTTGCATTTTCGTTTTCAATTATAGGTTGGGTAGACAAGTAACCACCTCGTCGCTTGCTTGGTCTATCACGAGGAATTTGTGGCTGAGGCAACTCAATTGTTGGTGGAGCAGGCTGAGGGTTTACATTAAAACGTTGTTCTCTAAATGCAAGTAAAATGTTACGCTGGTCGCGAGCAACCCTATCTCGATAATCAACACAACTAGGGCATGTTGAACGAGAATTAATTGAAAGCCTGTATAGCTCCTCTGCTATGTCAGACTGAAAAAAATAATAAGATATAAGATAATAAAAATTTTTGTGTAAAATAAAATAATATTAATGGTGAAAAAATGAAAAACTTACCGCACGACTTGTATCGCTACTGATACGTTGAATCCATCGTCTTGTATGTCTCCAATACCATTGCATGTACTGAGATATTCGATCAAGTTCATCAAATGCTATAGGAGCATTAACAATTACATGTGGCCATCTATCCCATGCTTGAATGAAATCTGCGTATTTGTCAATCCAATTTGTAGTTGTTCTACCTCGTAATTGGATCGTGTGGTAATTTTCAAATGAACAGGCATGGAAGGAATTGGTTGCTGACGACCAAATTGCCGTAGTACACAGTCAGGATGATGCCATTCTATAATATTAAAACATATTAAAGAACTGAAGCACGCCAAATTTCGGGTGTTGTCAAGCAATACTCAGGAATCAATTGGCGCACATAAGGAGATTCATATGGCTGCCATATTATCTCATCATCGGTCATTTTATCCAGAAAGCTCCTATATCGGATTAAAGACGCAGCAAGTGGACGTGGGTTTTGTCTCACATTTTTCCATCTGTTATTACAAAAAAGTAATGTTAAAAATTATATAATTTTAATAATATAAGAGCATAACAAATAGTTAGTTAATAAATTTAGCATACCTAAAACCCAAAGGAGGTAAGAGAGGGTAGATATCAGATTGTGGATCTGGATACCTAGGTTGTTGTGGTGCTAGCATAGGAAAACGATCCCATGCCCATAAATGAAGTAATGATAAGCATCCTCCAATCCCATCCTCAGTTGGGTTAGTAGCATTACACAATTCTCTGTATAGGTGAGCTAAAACTGCTGATCCCCAACTGTATTTTCCAGCTTCTTGAAGATCATAAAGTAGTGGAAGGTACATTAGATACACCCTGCTACCCGATCTATCTGGCATGAGATATCCACCAATCAACCTAAGGATATATGCACGAGTGAATTGTTGAACTTGTACATCATCCGCATTATCAGGTAGGTGATTAAAGTTCTCTTCCAACCAACTTATAAGTAGTCGCTGCCCACTTAGTCTATCTGCAGATGGTCTAATACCTAGAAAACATTCACACATGTCTTGCCAATTAAAGTCAGTTC